GCCTACTACCATCACGAGACGAGCCTGTTATCTTCTTCAGGGAAAAAAACTGAGGCAAAATAGGCATTGAGCCTTTCTTCTGTCTCTCAGTCCTCTGTCAGAGTTTCTCCATTTTCACCCAGCAGTGGGCCCATCACCGCTTTTATCTTGCATTTGTTCCTCACATATCTGAAGATTTTCTTGCTGTAGTGAGCCTCCCTAGCCAGCTTTAGCTCACTGTGAGCTTTGTCCTCTCTGATGGCTGACTTACAGTGCCTAGCAACCTGCAGATACTCTTCTTTAGCAGTATGTCTTCACCTCCATTTCTTGAACATTTCCTTTTTCTCCCTTAGCACATCACAGAGTTCTCTGTTCATCCACATTGGCTTTTTTTTAACCCCCTACCATGTTTCCTTCTTGTTGGAATAGCGATGGCTTGAGCTTGCAAGAGCTCTTGTTTTAGGAGAGCCTACCCTTCACTTGCTTCTTTCCTTTCCAGCAGTCTTGCCCATGTAATGATCCTCATCATACCTCTAAGTTTATTAAAGTCTGCTCTACTGAAATCTAACATACATGTATGGCTATGAACTTCCTTGGTCCCCCACAGCAAAAGGAATTCTAACAGGACATGGTCCCTTCACCCTAAGGTCCCCACCAGCTTCACCCCATCAACCATCTCTTGCCTCTTGGTCAATATTAAGTCGAGTATGGCTAAGCCCCTTGTAGCTTCCTCCACCATTTGATGAAGGAAGTTGTCAGCCAGACAGGTCAGGAACATTTGTGACTGTGGACGCTTTGCAGAATTTGTCTCCCAGCACACATCAAGGAAGTTGAAGTCACCCATAACTACCAGGTCATGTTGTTTGGAGGGCAGCATCTACCTCTTCATCCTGGTCTGTAGCAGACTCCAACCACAATACTGTTTGTCCTTCCTTCCCTGATCCTCACCTAGATACTTTCCACTGAGTTGTCACCTTCCTTTTCCAGTATTTCCTTAAAAAATTTTTTTTTTGCTTTATTACTACAAAACTACAGAAACTACAAAGGGAAAGGGACATAAGGGATACTATAACACTAACCAATAACATATAAAGATAAGGCAAGGATCATCATGCCTACAAGATTCATAATAGTCGTTTCTACCATTATTGATATAAAACAAAAGAAAAGAGTACAGGAACATAACTGGCTGACCTATTTTAAGATTAATAAAGCTAAAACAAGCGCATTTAGCCAAATTGAGTACATGATAGTTTCAAATACAAAATAACCTTTCAGAATTTCATTATATGCATTAATTATCTCCTGTGTTTATTCTTATCATATTACAGTTGGACTTTAAGAGTTTTAGGAGCTGCTTCTCCTTCTCCAGAGCCAGATTTTTCAGAGGAACTGTCAGGAATAGATATGCTGTCTTCAGACTCATGATCTCTCTTTTCTGCTTGTATACTGTCCTCTGTTTTTCCTTTATCCTTAGATGCTGTTTGTTGCTGTTCCAAGAATACCTTTGCTTTTTGGGCAGAGTCAATCTTCTCTTTTTTGTCATTATAGTTGAAAATAAGGCCTTCTGGAAATGTCCATCTGAAGGGAATGGAATGGTTATGTAAAAATGATGTTAGGTTTTTATACTGTCATCTTCTCTTTCGTATCTCAAATGGAATATCTTTTAAGATCTTCGCTTCTTCGCCTTTGATTTTCAGGGATTTCCCATTTGTCGCTTTCAAAATGACATCTCTGGTAGATCTTTTGGAGAATTTAACAAATATTTCACCAGGCAGGGTTTTTTAAATATAAAATCTGGATAAGTTCAATAAACCATATCCATGTCGCTTTGTAGAAAATCCACTTTAAGATCTGTCACTGGTGCCAATGCTTCGCTTAATAACTCCTTTAAATTTTCCCCTTTCTGTTCTGGGATACCTTGAAATCGTAGGACATATAATGATTTCTCCATTTGAAGCTGTAACAATGGCTCAGTTTCTCCACTTCACCACTTGTTTAGCTTATGGGGATTTGCAAAGACTCACAGTTCATTCCAGCAATTTTTCAAAAAGTAGAAAGGACAACATATCACTAGATCACTTGCCCGCCTCATCCGGCATGCGCCTCTGCTCTCCATATTGGTCTCGCAGCGGCGGGACCTATCAGGGTAAAGAGGAGCCTCAATTCCTCGGCCGTCGCCTTGGAAGAGGCACCTCTCACACCCCAGGCAAGAGACCCCTACAAGGCCTCTAGGGGGGCTCAGAACCGTCCGAGTCCCCACCCATCCACCACGATTTCAGGGTGCTCACATCGGAGCTCGATGGAGCGCACCCATCCAGTGAGTCACTGAAACTGGAACCTCTTCCAGTATTTCCTGACAAACAAACCCACACCTCAGATACAGTGCCACTCCGCCTCCTATTCCAACCTTTTCAATTTTTCTCATATCATCCACTATTACATTCCAGTCCTGGGAATCATTCCACCAAGTCTCTGTAATGCCTACTAAATCATATCCCTCTGTCTGCATTAGAAGCTCAAGCTCTTCCTTCTTATTGCTTATGCTTTGGGCATTGGTAAATAGACACCTGAAACCACGCACCTTTGGGTCCATTAGATCCATTCCTCCCAGCTGGGCCTCTATTGTTTGTTCTCCATTTAAATCCTTATTTTGGTCATCTCCTTCCCTTTGTGGTGTCAGTTTAAAGCTCTCTTGATTAATTTCTCCAGGTTTCTGCCAAACACATTCTTCCATGACCTTGACAGGTAAAGTCCATCGCATGCTAGTAGGTTGTCATCCAGAAAACCTAGTCTGTGCTCCCAGAATCCAAATTGCTCCTGCTTGCACCACCAACACAGCCAGTGGTTCACCTCCATTATCATCTGTTCCCATCGTATTCCCCTTCCTATGACAGGAAGGATCGAAGAGAACACCACCTGTGCCCCTATTCCCTTCAGCTTCCTCCCAAGAGCTTCATTTGTTGTTGTTCAGTTGCACAGTTGAGTCCGACTCTTCACAACCCCATGGACCACATTATGCCAGCCCCTCCTGTCTTCCGCCATCCTCCAGAGTTTGCTTAATTTCATGTTTGTTGCATCGATAACACTGTCTAACCATCTCATCCTTTGCCGTCCCCTTCTTCTTTTACCTTCAGTCTTTCCCAGCATCAGGGTCTTCTCCAGTGAGTGCTCCCTTTTCATTTGGTGGCCAAAGTATTTGAGCTTCAGCTTCAGTATCTGGCCTTCCAGGGAACAGTTAGGGTTGATTTCTTTTAGGATTGACTGATTTGATCCAAGGGACTCTCAAGAGTCTTCTCCAGCACCATACTCCAAAAGAATCTATTCTTCAGTGCTCAGCCTTCCTTCTGGTCCAACTCTCGCAGCCATACATTGCTACTGGGAATACCATTGCTTTGACCATACGGACTTTGGTTGGCAGGGTGATGTCTCTGCTTTTTATTATGCTGTCTAGGTTTGCCATAGCTTTCCTCCCAAGGAGCAGTTGTCTCTTAATTTCATGGCTGCAGTCACCTTCTGCAGTGATCTTGGATCCCAGGAATGTGAATTCTGTCACTGCTTCCATGACTTCCCCTTCTATTTGCCAAGGAGTGATGGGGCCGGATGCCATGATCTTCATTTTTTTGATGCTGAGTATCAAGCCAACTTTTCTTCCAGTGCTATTTCTTCATATCTCCCTGTCCTCCTCCCTCTGTCTGCCTTGTGTTTTTGATACTTCCGCTGGAAGTGTTTCCATCTCTGCCATTTCTGCTTCTATCACAAGGGCCTGGAATCCATTCCTTAGCTCTAATGGCACTGAGTGCTGTCATGCTCAATGCCCTTGGGGTTGTGCTGTAGTGCTCTGAGGAGTCTCGTTAGGGTAGTCAATCACGCTGTTGTCCCTTTGACTGGTCTCTCCTTCCATATGCAGGAAATCAAGGCTTCTGTTAATGAACTCCTCCTCTTCCTTGAACTCATGGAGAGTAGTAATCCTTTCCTCCAGGGCCTGAACCTTCTCCTCTGAGAGTACTATCAACTTACACTTTTGACAAGTGTAGTCCGTTTTATGGCTTTTTAAAATGCTCCTGATTTGTTTTCAATGGTTTGTTTTGTTTTTATATCAATAATTTATGATGATTTTATTGTATTGTTCTTACTTGTAAGCTACCTCAAGCAGATTTCTGGAGAGGCAGCATACACATTCCATAAATAAATAAATGAAAAATGAAAATATTGCTTCTCTTGTTTTGTGCTTCTCTAACTGCCATTAGATTTATACATATGGAAGATATGTATTTTTAGGTGTTTGTGATGTAGACCATCAGAATAAAGCTGGGTATACGGCAGTAATGATCACACCATTAGCATCAGCAGAGACTGATGAAGAGATGGAGGTAGTCACAAAGCTGTTGAAAGAAGGCAATGTTAACATAAGAGCAAGTCAGGTACGTTAAAGTTATTTGTTTTGTAGTTGTTTATTCTGTATTTATTATCACTTTAGTGGTAAATTAATCACTTTAAGTTGAATCCCCTGTGTTAACGGAGGAAACTTCCTCTGAGGGAACAGTTCTATCTCCATTGAAGTAAGGTTCTATCCACCAAAGAATGATTCCTCGCTTAGCAGAAAGGAACAGTTACATCCAACTGTATATTTTTATTTTACAAAGCTGAAACTGGTTGGTAAGCCTGAGGTCCTGGAGGGTTTTGCACTCCCCATGTTTGATGGGGTACTGCTGTCTCTCAGCTAGGAGTCTAGGAGTTATGCTGGGTCCTGCATTGTTCTTAGAGAAACAGATTACCTTGGTGCAAAAACTGCCTTTTCCCATTTCCACTTAGTAGGAAGATGGCTCCCTACTTGGACTTACCCAGTCTAGACACATTAATTCATGCCACAGTAATCTTGAAGTTGGACTGTCGTCATGTATTCTAACTGGGCCTGCCCTTGAAGACAATTTGGCAAACTCCGTCTGATGCATAATGTGGCAGCTTGATCCCTGTAAAGTATGGTTGCCAGGTCTTTGGCTCTCACCGACAGGGGGTAGAAGGGAGTTTTCTGGGAGTGGGGACGGTGGGGTGACGTCACCACATGCCCTGTCCCCAATTTGATGACATCACACAAAAGTGACACCATCATGCCAAGGACGTGGCACGGTGGGCAAAATTCTATAATTGGGGATGTTGTGCCAGATCGTGGCTGTTAGGGGCGGGGCTTCCCAGCTGGCTGGGAGTGAGCAGGACCCTGCAAAATTGGGGCATCCCCCGCTCCCACCTGGGGGCTGGCAACCCTAATGTAAAGTCCTTTGTGGCCTTGGACCCTCACATCTATGAGGCCACCACTGCCAGTATGCTCCTTTGTGGCAATTCTGTTCTGGAGATGAAGGCCTGTTGAAGATACTTTCTTGCAGGCTTGTGAAGATAGCTGCTGCCTGCCCCAGAGCATTTTCTATAGCAGCTGCTACCTTGTGTAGTGATGTAGACTGCAAATTCTATTTGTTCAGACAGACTCCATCATAAATTTGGTTTGGTTTTTGGGCTTGAGGCAAAGTGTTGTTTTATTATTTTTAATTAATGTCATAACCCAACTTGAGTCACTTGTTGGGAGAAAGGCAGGTTTAAAATGCTGTAATTTTATTTTTCATATGTCAATGACAACATCCCTCAAAAGGGCTTTTATATAATCTGAACAGAGATAATAAGAAATGAGACACAATGGAGTATTATATATTTGCTTGTTATTGTCATTTCTAGGGTGGCCAGACTGCTTTAATTTTGGGTGTGAGTCATGATAGAGAAGATATGATAAAAGCTCTGTTGTCATGTGGTGCTGATGTAAACCTTCAGGATGACTCTGGATTGTCACCTCTAATGGTTGCTTGTCAGTATGGTAATGTTGAGATTGTGAAGCTTCTCTTGTTTCATCCAAGCTGTAATATTGAATTAACTGATAAGGTAAGAGAAATTCATTCATGTATCATGTGTAGTACAAAAACAGAACTTCCAGGCAATGTTAACCTTCCTGTCTACTCAGAATGTAATTCAAGATGGAATCTGGGGGCTACAGTGTTAAATTTTGTTGTGGATTTAAAGACAACCTTACAGAAATCCCCTTCAATTCAAAAAAATATATTCTTGACTTGACAGTCAATCTGCTTGAAAGGATTCAGTGTAGCTTGTTTTGCTCACAGTCACATCATATGTATGTGCATTCATAAGAATAAAGTTACTATGATGTAGTGCATCTGTAGCAAAAAAAACCTAGCATAAAAATGGCACTAAAGATTTAGGCAATCACTATGGCCTACAAAACTCATGTTACAACAAAGACTGTGTCTGAAGTTCTTTCAGTAGCTCAGGCACTGGTGGAGGGTGGTGCAGAGATCCTGTGTCTCAAGGCAACATATGATACATAAATATTAGTATTTATTATTAGCATTATATTAGACTTTATCAATCATACATTAAAATCAGCAAAACTATCTTTCTTGTCCTTATGGTTTCTTTACATTCAGAGGCTTTGGCTAGGATCCAGCTAAATATATGTTGGCATTTTGCGCTCCAGTGGGAGAGGCAGGAAAGTCACATGGAAACATTTAGTCTGTGGAATAGGGCAGGGTATAAATTTAATAACAACAGCAACAATAACAGACAAGCATTTAAGTCTTTGGAGCGAACCAGTACTCCAGAAAGTCTGTGGCCAGGCATGTTCCATCCACTCGACCATTCAGACTTTGACTTTGTATATTATATGGCTGTGACCGATTTCACACAAGAGCTGTGGCGCAGTTGTGCCTCCCTTTGCCCCGCTTCTATTGGTCAATTTCCCACTCGAAGCCACGCGGCCGTATTTTGACCAGTGGTTTCACCCGATTTTCCCCGCGGTTTTGTGATCTTAAAAAACCAGGACCATGAAAACGTGGGGGAAATTGGGCGAAGCCGCGGGTCAAAATGCAGCTGCGTGGCTTCGAGTGGGAAATTGACCAATAGAAGCAGAGCAAATTGTGCCACAACTCTTGTGTGAAATGGTGTGAGATTATTTTCTTTATTTCCAAAGATTAGGGATTTGGAACTTTTAGGATTGTTAGCCTTCCAGCTGGGATGGAGAATTCCCCACCCCCACTTCTCATTTCAGTGGCTGTCAGGCCAGCGGCATGATTTCACTTCTGGGTAAAATCTAGAAGTAATGTCAGTCCTGTCTAGGAATCCCAGACTGGTACACCAGGAAATTCCCGTACTGACATCACATTGTCCCCCTGTCCCCACCCATGGTATCCTGGCAATCCTACCAGTTTTAACCACGTGAAAAATATTCAAGTACATTAAATACACAGCTATCTCTTTTCATAGTTAATTTTATACTGTGAAATAAGGTTTACTTGTGGTGGCTAGAAATTAGAAAAAATGCCATAACTAATGAAACCCAGCAGAGTCATATCAGACTCTGGGTGATTTCTCACGAGAGCTGCCTCGCAGCACAGCGCCGTTTGCCTCGACACAAACGTGTCAATTTCACACCCGAAGCTCCGGGGCTGCATTTTGACTCAGGGCTTCGCCCGATTTCCTCCGCAGTTTCGTGATCCTGGTTTTTGAGGATCATGAAACTGCGGAGGAAATCAGGCGAAGCCCCGAGTCAAATGCAACCCCGGAGCTTAGGGTGTGAAATTGACACGATTGAGTCGAGGCAAACGGCGCTGTGCTGTGAGGCAGCTCTCGTGAGAAATCACCCTCTGTCTCAAAGTCAGATTTTCAATTAGAAATTAGAATTTTCAAGCCAAGCAAGTCTGAGACAGGACCATGACTTGGATTGTGGCTTTAATTGCGTGTATACTGCTGGAGACCATCTGCATCTCCTTTAATAAAGGGTTTGTATTTATTCTACATGAAATAAAGGGCCTGTTTTATTAATGAGTAATCTACTCTGCTGTACCAGCAGAAGGATTTTAGCTTGTCATTATCTGTTCTGTGGATTGGTCAGCAAAAATGGGAAGTTAGTATAATGAAAATAAATTGTTTGTAATACTGTTTAGAATGGTGCCATTGAAACAGTCGTTAGTAATAACAAATTTTACCAAAAATAGGTGATCAATTTTCATGCTGATGTCCATTTTCTCTTTAAAGCGATAGTGGATTTATCTGTTCTAGGCAGATACCTTGTTGTAAATATGCTAGTTTTTCACCCCACTTAGCTAAAGTAGAGTATGCAGCGTTATTTATTCTGGTGACAGTCTCAGAAAGGTAGAGAAACAAGGATGGCTGGCATAATACTAATCTCCTTCTCTCATTTTGTTTTCATGTAGGCTGGTAATTCTGCATTGTCCATCGCTTTGAAATCTGCCCACGTAGAAATTGCAGAGTTCCTCCAGGCCCACATATAGCTCAGCCAGTCTCTGAATACATAAAGGGAAATGGGAAATTATATGTGTCGGAATGAGGAATTGATAACAAAAGACTTATTCATTTAGCCAACACTGTAACCAGTTTATATGCCAATGATCGTAGCTGATAAATGCTGATTTCTCTACTTATTGAAAGGAGGAACTATGTCAGCTATTTGCATACATTCTTATTAGTTGAGTCACTCTTAAGCCTGCTTTAACGGTTGTAACCTATGCACAGTGGCACAAATAACCCCAATTTGCTAGATTGTTGCATTGCCTTTTATTAACAGAAATTGTATTTTCAGAACTCAAGTTGGCTAGTCTCTTATTAAGCTGGTAGCTTCTTCAGGCTTATTTTATGACTTGCTAAACTGCTTAACCTTTGATAAGGACACTGAAGCAACTCATTTGTCTCCAGGCAGTAGTTCTGTGCTTTCCAGGAGTGGTGGCAAAGCATTCATCAAGTATGCAATGTTATATATTAAAGGGTAAGTGCTTTCAGTTATGACAACACAAACCAAAGTTGTTCCAGGTTCAGTGGAGACATACATAACAGCAGCTATTATGATATTTAAAGTATCCTCACAGGTATGATGCTATCAGTCTGCACCAACTACCCAGGGTCTACCTGGTAAAGAAGGCAGAGCTCAATAGATCTGTCTCCATGCCAGTTAAACGATGTCTTGATTCCCTTATTTTCTGCCTGGACCTCCCATTGGATCCTAAACTCCCATTGGTTGTTGTGTAAGGGTCTCAGAAATTACCAACCCTACCAAAGCAGAGCACATGTCTTTATCAGGGTCTAGGGACAACTACCAGTGCAGTACCACTGATGACTACTACTGTGTTAAGGCAATGGTTAGGCCTTAATCTCAATAGTGCCCCTGAAGTATTAACTAGTACCAGTTGCACTGATACCCTTGTGCCACAGGACCTAGCTACATGTTACAAAAGAGTTCTGTCCTCTCTACATCTCCACTCTTCCTGCCAACATCTACTTTTATGCAATAAATACCTCATATACATTGTGTAAAATTAGACATGATCAGGAAGAAAGAACACATTTATTGTAAAGTCTAGTTTGTCCCTGAAGCTGGATACTTTGGCAGTGAGTACCACATCAGTGGAATAAGCTATGAATACTGATCTTTCTTTTACACTTAAAGTCCAGCATATATTCCTGATACCATATCATGTTTCCAGTTTGGCTATAAGCACAATAATAAAGCAATACTAAAATTTGTTTTTTGTAACTTTAGATAATAGAGTCATTTGTTTTACAAAGCATGTCTCAACTGACTTGTAAATTGTATTGTGATATTTATTACTATTGATTTTTAAGTACCAGCAGGCAGTGATTATTCAACATATAGCAACAAATACCAGTTGAACTCACTATATACAAATATTGTATTTGTATTTGGCTTATATGACTCAGATGTAAGAATGCAAAGGTAATTGTTTAGGAATATTCAAACATACATGAGTTAGTTTCTATATTTCGAGACAGCAAGACCTTTCCCCCCATCTACACAGAAGTACCATATATATGACTTTCTTATGTTTCTAATTGAATTTAAATCAGCTAACCAAGAGGAAGCTTTGAAATATCTCTTACTGAAAGGTCAGGTACAATTACGATATATTGTACTTAAGAAAAATAACCCTGAATATAACGAACAAAAAACTTGGTCATAAATATTCCGAGGATTACTATTGTTTGAAATATTCTCATAATTATGTTCTGAAGGGCTATTTCTGATTATGGCTTTATGTGGAAGGTGCCTTTTGGGCAAACATCTGTTCTCTGGTTGGAAATCCCTAACTTGTTAGATTGAAATCTGTTGTAATAATTCAGCTTGCCATATTGTTCTGTTTACTGAGAAACCTTCCACCCACAGGGTAGTCAGAGTTCTTCCGTGGGTTCTGGCAGCCTTCCAGGACTCGCTACAATGCATACAAAAGGCAAATCTTTTTTGAATTTTCATTGTTCAGCCACTATTAATTACAAATGCACATGCCATAATCCGAAGAACTGAGAAATCAGTTATTTCCTTCACTGAATCTTTTGTTTCTCCATTGAAAAAAATCAACAGCAGCAGTGTGGCAGACATCTCCATCAAGCAACCCATCCGAGGGGAGAATGGGAACATGGGAGCAGTAGTACAGTGATGGGCAAGCCCATAGGGCAAGCTCACAACAGACATAGCTGGCTAGTCACCTTGGAGGTGGTGAGGGGCAAGGGCGTGCCCTTGGGACTGTGGGGATTTAAGGCAATTAATGGGTGGCTAATTACTGAAGGCAGGAGCAGCTTCTGGGGAGGGATTTAAAGGAGGTTATGTGCAGGAGCTGTGAGCTGGAGTCAGAGATGAGATCTAGCAGGCTTGGGAGAGTGTAGAGTAGTGGCCATGCTACCATGCTGTCAGAGAATGGGAGTGAGAAAACTGCCCCAGGTGTGAGACTGGAGGATGCATGGAAGACCAATGAGCCTGAATATAAGGTACTGAATAAACCTCTCTGCACCTCCTGCCTCTTCTTGGGACAATGGAGTCATGTCCCCACCCTAGCCTGTTGAAGGTGCTAGGCGTGTGCATTTGGCTATATCTGAGCCGCAAAAATAGCTGAAATATACCTTATTGGTATTTTCCTGCTATTCTTTCCACTGGATATAGATCTGGGTATTTTTTTGGCTATTGCTGGATATAGATTTGGGTATTTTTTGGCTATCCAAAATAGCCAGCCCCCCAAAATCCCAAAAATATTTGGGATTTTTCAGGACCTCCAGATAGCTGAGGTTAAAGGGCGTTTAAAGGCATTGCAGTCCCTTTAAATGCCTTCTGCATGAATTTGGTGCTTGGAGAAGTTTTTAAAGGGACCATGAGCCCTTTAAATGCCTTTGGAGTTCACCCACGGCTTGGAGAAGGCATTTAACGGAACTGAGATGCCTCCCCCCTCCACTGAAACTAATGGAGAATGAGGGCACTTTCTTTGGGGGCCCATAGAATTGGCCCCCCTGGTCCAGTCATTGTAAAACTTGGGGGTGTTGAGAAGGGCCCTGAAAACTGTCCCCAGAACCTGAGATACCCGCAGATCAATTCCCCATTATTCTCTACAGGGACCATTGACTATAATTGTCCCCATAATGCATAATGAAGGCTAAAAAATTGGGATTTCTGAAAAATCCCAAATCTGAATTCCTTACCGGTACTGCGATTTCAGAATATCAGAAAATGCAAATATTTTTGGGTTCAATATACCTGAACCCCCAAAAATACCATTTTTTTGCATACCTCTGGAAGGAACCCATGCTGCCTGCCTCTCACATCAGCCCAGACGTGATGACTGAGCCCACAGGCAGCCTCTTCATGGTTAGTAAAGCTATCATTCACTTTTATTATAATGAACTTGACATATTAGGTATATTCTTTGTGGCTCTTTCTCAGATTTGGTCATTGAACCAAATACTTGAACCTAATCTGTTTTGGTTACATTTATGTTAGGCCATTCTTGCTTCATTTGGGGGCTATATTTGTGGTGACTGTTGAACAACATTTTGCAATGACCTATGGTTCTTACAGATCCATTGACTTGAAACAGTAGCCTTCTGTGGCTTATGGCAAGTCACTGTTAACAGGCAAGTTTCAGAAAGTGTGATGAGGCCTGGGGCACTACTTCTAAAAAAAAGAAAAAAAGAAAAAAAATGTCCCTCTGATCTTGTACATGCTTCTTTAGAACACACTTTAAAAAGGTCTCACAAATGTGGCCATAGCAAACACAGGGTTCCCTACTATCATGGTTTCTGACTACCTTGTAATAGGAAGGCAATCCCTCTGACATAAGGAGCTACCATAAATCTCACTGAAACCAGTCTCTTTCTCACACTGTTGTTACTTAATCTTAAAAGGTATGTAACAACAGTCCAGGTCCCCAATCTTCAGGCAAACAGGCATTAATAGTATAAATTATGAAATAACTTCTCTCCACACCAATATCTTGAATGATCATATGCCAGAGCTTTTATTGATGGATTTTCCTTGTTTCTTCCCTTTCCAACACAGACTCTTTGACTTCAACAGCTGTATGACATTCTCACATATCATGCAGTTGTTAGCAGAGTTTTTGTCAGGAAAAAAGCAATAATTTTATCCCAGGGAGTGAAGTACTGCTAAATTTGAACAGTCACATGTAAGCAGGACAACTAAGGTTCAGATATAGACAGGGCTTTGAAATATTAAACTTGCATTCCTTCTGTATTGCTATGGTATAATGAACAGAAATTATCATTCACAGTAGCCTTACAGAAAAAGGACCTTTGTTGTAAGTTATAATTAAAATCAGTCTTATAAACTGGTTGACAGAGCCCCTATTTAAATGCTAACATATCTTTCATGATTTCATTGATGAGAAACTTTATAAAATGTTTAAACAATGTCAGGATTGATAAATGTAGTCACAAACTTTGAGAAGTAATCAATGAGTAGTACAGCTCTGTAAGGCTGAAACAAGCACAAAATCAATTTGAGAAAGTAGCTGAACTGTCACAATTAGCTTATGCATTATGCACTCTGAGGGGAAATAATGGTGACCAAAGCAAAGTGAAGGGATGTTTTAAAATTTTAAACTTCTTATTGAGGGTTCTTGTTAAAAATAAAACAGTGGGCTTCCATTAGTCGTTAAATTGCGACACTGAATTTGGACCAAAATAAAATGCTCCTGATAGAATGGTCTTTTACCTTTCCATCATTCTGGCCTTTCTCTTTCTCTTCTGCTTCCTTGTTCTACTTTTTCCCAGCTTTGTCTGCATTGGAGCTAAATCTACACAACATAGTTGTTTCAGCACTGAGTGTGGCACTAAGGTAGCCATTGATTCTGTTGTCCAGAGAAAAGTACATGGGGTTCTTCACTTTGCACCAAATATGAATTGCATAACTCCCATTTGTATGCAAGAACAAGAATGTCATGCCTTTCCCTGTTCTGAGGTCTTGAACTGAGCATTCCTTTCATTA